AGAAAAGAAATATGATTTTAAATTCTAGCTAATTGATTTACAGCCTCCACTCCAAACCAAGTAACTCCTATTGGCTGGGGAAGGAGTTCCTCTCACTGTCAACATGGCATCAATCTTGAATACAAGCACTTTGCCAATCTGTAGGTGTGTGAGCTTTCCATCCTGGCAAAAAGCAAGGTTTTCACCAACATGATGTAGACTAGTTTAGAGAGTCTGAGCAAGGAGTATTATTGGCAACAGTCTTAGGGGAAAAGAAATCCAGTGTCCAACTTCCTCCCACCCAATGAAGTTTGTTTTACAGGCATTTTTACTTCAGAGAACCTAGGCCTTCCTCAGATTTCTTCAGTACAAGTGGGGAACAGCAGTACCCCTACCTACAATTCTCAGTACTGCCCTGGTACCTTAGGTATTCCAACACAAACACCCCAAATCATGGCAACACCCTATTTCTGTAAAATGCAACAAACAGCCAGGTTCTGACACACAGCTCAGAAACTTCCACCTGGGGGAAGTGATCTTCTCATGCTAACAGGATGTATAAAATAAAGAGCTTTGAAATACTTATGTTTCTTCTCCTGGAAGTACATCACAGCTTAGATTGTATTGCATGAACAGTATAAACAACTCTAAATCACAGTCTGCTTCTACACTGGAAATGTATCAGGAACAGCAAAAGAACTAATGCTGCATTGAAGGAAGTGATAACTCTGCATAGTGTGCAATTTTTCATTTTGCTCCATTTCAAAATGCATCATATAAATTACATTCATAAATATTAGGAAGAAAGAAAACAAAAAAAACATCAAAAAACCTTCCTCCAGGGTTATTTTCATTTGCAAAGATTTCAAGCAGCAGAAAATTATTCTTATCTCTGAACAAGCTTTTGTATTTCCTAAAGAATAACCTCCTTCTGTACTTAACACCAACACAGTTGCATTTGGTTAACAGAAACCCTGTAGCATCCAAAGGCAGTCATGCCTTTTACTCTTCAATTTAATCCACTGAGAGCTTTAAACAACTTGCAATGTCTACAATCACAGTCCTCTTAAACAAACATTTCCACAAATTCTACGGGCTTTGCTGCTCCTTCTAGCATGAAAGTGAGATCCCCCACGCAGTGTTTATTCATGAATTGGTGAAAACTGTAGCAAGGACAGAACTGGAAGCCACATGGTGCTACTTCAGTGCTAAAAGCCCTCACATCTCTGTCACAACTCATAGCTATCAGAAAGAAAAGAGCTGAACACACACTGGAGCGTGCCTTAAAGTGAATGCAGCAACAGATGTATCAGAGAATGTGTGTTAATGCTACATGCTCATTGTATATAGTAACAAAGATGATTATTTATAGTGGTCAGGCTTATTCTATAGCATGAGACAAGCCATGGACACCTCCACAGCATAGCCACATCCTTCCTCCCAGACATCATTCTGGCTGTTTTGCTAAGCAAGTCACCAAATTCCTCTCCATAATACTTCAACCAGCAGGAGAACTCCTTAAGGACAAGCCAAAGTCCCCAAACACATGAGTAACTTATACCAGCACTTAGGAAAGGATTAAGCAAGGGAAAAGACAGCTAGGCTAGAAACACTCAAGAGCTTCTGAATCTTCAGAGGGCATCAGGAAAACTGGGTTACGTATCTGAGATGTAACAGTCAAGAAAAGAGTATCAGAGCACATAGAAATTAATGGTGCATGAAACTGAAGAGCAAAATAACTTTATTTTAAAGGAAGCAAGCTCCTCTAGCACACACTCTCAAGCTTAATTCTCTTCATCAATCTTACCAGATTTACTGTGGTTTACACAAGTTAAGGTTACTAACTTACTTCCTGAATGTTTATTCTTGCTATTACCAACAGCTAAGTTTTAAGAAAACTACTTTTGACTAAAATAAATGATAGCAGAAAATGTTACCTGATAATCTTCTGCAAATGAGAAAAAAACCAACAAACCAAACAAAAAAAACACAAGCACAATAAGCAGAAGCACATAAATGAACCACAAAAAAACTAACCAACATCCCCCAAAACAAATAAATAGTGACATCTCTCTGGAAGAAATTTAATTATATTTTACTTACTTTTTGTTATTTATACTTATTCATAATATGTTATATATGTTACATATTTATAATATGTTATTGCTATTTATATATGTGTTTATAAAACACATATATACATATACATTTAACTCATCCAACTTGGTCCCACTGACAGATGATCAAAACAAAGATATCATACTGAAGCATTATCAGCAAAAAAAATGTGACTGACTTTTAAATAAACAGACAAATTTTAAGTATTATTTCATTTTAAAGCAAAATAAAGTCAACTTCAAAAAATAGAACTTTCCAAAAGCTGCTAATTTCCTGCAATGCCCAGCAACTACTCTATTAAAGCACAAGAGGTAGATCCATCACTAATCAAAACATAAGCCTTAATTTTATTTTTTTTAACTCCACCCACTTAATTATAGTGGGAATTCTTTATTGTTATTGCCTAACTCTACTTTAATCTTAAAATTAACCAAGTGATAATATAATCTGCCCAGGAAACTCTCTCAATTCCCATCCATAAGCTCCAATGCTCTCCATACCACTACTCTGGTTCAGCAAGTTCAACTTCATTGACACTGAAGAACAGGAGACTACTCCTAAGAGCAACAAGAAAAAAAAAAACAAGCATAAAGATTATACTGTCAGTCATCTTTTATCAGCTGTATACACATCTGCAAAGGTTCAGAGTGTCTGGGAGTGGTTTTGCTCCTTTTTTAGAAGAAAATCAGATCAGAAAAAAGTTGTACCTACAGGACTTGTTGGGTTCTGGCACATTCTCTGGCCCATATTACTAGTGAGTGATGAGCTTTTTACAGTCATTCTTTGACCACCAGTGGGAACACACTACCACTGGTTTGAATCAATGCATTTTAAAGTCATACATTCAAGCAATGTAGGAACTGTTGCAGTGGGCACAGAATAAATAAATACTTTTCTCAATAACAGGCATAATACAATGTAACACTTTCAGAGTGGTTTTTTTTTTTTGAGAAGAATTTTACAGGGCTGGGTATTAATTTTTCTGCTCCAAGCATGTTTGCTTTGACAACACACAAGCACACTACATGTTTATTTTGCTAGTCAATTGAGAAAAACAAAGCTTTCCATAGTTACCAACAAGCTGCTGTGACAGGATATAATGGCAGTTCATTTTCTATCACCCAAACTTCATGCATTGCATTTTTGCTGTAACAAATTAAGAACTATTTGGGAGAAGTTGTGTTCTTTAGAGAGACAATGTGCTTCCCTTGTGTTTAATGAGAAATTAAAAATGCTTATGAAAAATCAGAAACAACTACAGAAGTTGTCATTCTCCATGGCTGGGAACTGCCAGGATCTGAGACTAGAGCATGAACGGTACAGGAAAATAACAAGTATAGGGAGATGTAAGGATAAAAAAGAATAAATCCAGGCTACAAGTAACATCAGGCTCATGAACAGAGCAGCAACAGAAACATGTTCTTCAAAGAAATATTTTTGGTCATTTGCTTTCAGTTAGGCCCTCTTTCTTAACCAACTCTATTCTCCTGGCTGGGACACACACCGTACCACATCATTTCTGGCACAGGATTAGTAAAATAGAAGGATGGCCACAACTGACTGGAAAGTATCTTGTCATCAGTTCTGTTGACCAACACACACTAACTGCTGGAAGTATTCTGGGAATAGTTTGCCTTTTTTTTTTCCTTTTTTTTTTTTTTTTTTTTGGCAACAGAGAAGAAAAGGCCTAAGCCATTCTGGTCACCAAGTGCAACACCAGCAGCCAAGAAAGTAAAGCACTCTCAGGGGTGGAGGAAATTTGTGCCACCTCCAGCCGGCAAGTGGTTTCTGTTCCAGGTTACAGCCCTGAGAGCCTGTTAGTAACTCCAGCATTGCGAGCAGGTAGCTTATATCCAGCTTCTCTCTCTTCTCTTTCCATTGCCAAGAACTATGTGTTTCTAACCAAAATGGATTTCAACAGCCAGTCCATCCCCAGAGCACCACACTAAACAAATGGCTGCACAAATAGCCAAAATTGTTTACTAAAGGTAAAATGTACAAGACACACACCACAACATTTCTTTATACTGGGCAGTGACAGCCGTATGTGTACAGGTTTTCTAGTTATTCTCACCATAATTACACTTCTGCAGAAACTGGAGGCAAAAATCACTACCAAGTCATTTTGTTTGACATCAATGGAATGGTACTGAGTAATAAAATATTCTTCACAAGGCTTCTATTATAAGCTAATGAACTAATCTTTCAAGAAAACACATAGTGAAATAGCTGGTTTTAAGTATATACCAGATACCCTTTACAAAGAATCACAGAAGTGGTTTCTGGACCATCCCCTTGTCCAAGCCCCTGCCAAGGCAGGGTAACCAGAGCAGGTGACACAGGGACACGTCCAGGTGGGTCTGGAATGTCTCCAGAGAGGGAGACTCCATGACCCCCTTGGGCAGTCTGGTCCATTGCTCTGACACCCTCAACATGAAGAACTTCTTTCTCATGTTAAGGTGCTTCTTGTCATTTAATTTATGGCCGTTGCTGCACAGCACTGAAAAGCAGGTCCTAGTTAGGCCATATTTAGGTAGATGGAAAAATGAAACAACCTAACATTTTATATATTAAAAAGCAAAAAAACAAAACCAAAAGCACAGTCAACTCTTCAGAAGACTACAACAACATTGTCTTAAAAAGTGATATAAAAGTCCCTATCTAAATGGGTCAAGAGTTCTCCTAAATAAGTGTAGTGATAATCACTTGCAAGTTATTGCTATTTTTTAAAAACACAGTGTACCTTACAAATCCATTCTAGAGAATTCACCATTGTAACACAAACTCAGCACATTTACTGCTTTAAAACACAAAATTACTTCTAGATTGAAAACACAGAGCTTTAAAACATGCAATACTCACTGATAGTTAAAAATAAAAATCTTTGTAAGGAAACAACTTACTTGATTGAGTTTCTGAAGTGGTCCTCAGCAGGATTTTTTACTGTACAACTGTTCAGCAACCATAAATCTGCTTCATCAGAGTTATCTACAAAGCAGAAAAAACCAAACTTGCGTTAAGAATTATTTAACCTGTCAACTCCTAACTTATAAAATATTTTTAAAAAACCCCAAACTGAGCCATTAATAATAAGTTGGCTATTTGCAAGATTATTTTATATTCAATTACATTCTTGAAAGAGGTTTTTTGTTTTTCTTTGTTTTGTGTTTTAGAATAAAAAGAGACACATGAGCATTTCCATTGTAATTCCATTTTAATTTTTTGCCAATGGGGAATGAGTTGTTATCTTATTTACCACCTGAGATGCCACTAGATTGCACATCATGGAAAAGAAAGTTAAAAAAAATGGTCACAACTCCCAGAAAAGTCTTGCCTAGACAAAGGCAAAATTAGGTGGTCAACAAAAGCAGGTTTCACTAAGAAAACAAAATCCCTGCTTCAGCTCCACTGTGAATTAATACTACAAAAGAACAAATCATAATTCATAACATGTAAAGCTCTACCAAAGAGAAAAGTCAGTGTAGCGGGTCTGGAAAGAAACAGACATATATCTAGTTTTGGTTATATCTTAGTTATAGTACAATTATAGCTCAGCAATTTTCAGACAAAAGATATTCAAGCAACCAATATCTGTTTCCATTCAGATAAGAATACTTTTTTTTTCAGTATCCAAACCTTTCTGTATGTTCAGAGCCTATTGATATCTAAATTCATTAACTGAACTGAATCCCAGAATTATCTGCAGAAGCACATGTATAAACTGTAATCCTGTAAAACATGGCCTATACTACACAATTACTAGCATAGTCATTATCCTTGTGAAGTTAGAGCTTCTTTTTTTGAACAAAAGAATAAAGATAATCTATCTCAAATAGTTTAGTGCTTTAGCATTCATCAGAATAGCTTGTATCAGTTTGGATAAGAAAACTCATGTCACTTGCTACTATTCAGTACATGGAGCAGTGAAGTATTGACTGACGTATCTTTAAATAACGTAAGCCAGTGAGCAATGAACACAGGTAAAAACTAATTTTTAGGATGCCTGACTTGAACTGATGTCCTGCTAAAGCAGGAGGAAGCCTGCCATGACTTAGGCATATTTACACATGCACCCATCATGCATGTATCCATACAGGCATGAATATCCTTTTTCTCCATGCACACACACTTATGACAAAATGCTAAAATTGAAAAAGCTTTCTGTCTCATGACATTTTCTTCAAAGAAATCATCGTTTACAATTAATTATCAGTCACTTAACCTAGAAAGCAGTTAAATTGAAAATAATACATAAAAGGCAACTAATGCTAAATAAGAGAAAACATTCAGGGGGAGTTCTAATCATTGTTGACCAATATTACACTATTAATTTGGCTAAAACACAACTTCCTTTCACAACAGGGAAAGACCACAAAACAGTCACCTAAGCAACATTCAGACCTCAACAACATTCAGACCTTTAGCTACTTTAAACAAAACAAATATCTGACCCTGTCAGGTTGGGAAAGAGCACTCAGTTTTTCAGCCTACATAGAAGTCAAAATAAAAATGGAATAAAACAAAGAACCTCTCCTGCATGTAAACTACATTTTTAGACTAATGAGCAGACCCATATACTATTACAAATATAATCAGAGGTTAAAATAATTGATTAGGAATTATGTACAGACAAGCAAAGAAACAGTTTCAATGTCACAAAAAGAGTAATCTGGCCTAGTCAGAGGTACCAAGTATGAAAACAAACACATTTAAAAAGTAGTTTTCCAATCACACAGCCAAACCCTTGTATTTCTTATTCTGTTCAGCAGCATGAAATGTTTATAAATTCAGCCCCACACCCATAACACACCCACCTGAGAATCAGGGGTGGGACACACACACACACTAAATAGCAAGAGGCCAACATTTAAGTGAGACATTACATTTAACAGACAACCGCTGCAGTAGCACTCATCCACCACTGTAAAGCATAACCATTTTCAAGAGATGCCTTTATTCAGAGGAGAGAGACAGAGAACACCAGTTCTGGGCTTGGTCTCAGTTCCTCCTTGTGCTATGGTTTCCAGGTGTGCAGGAAGAGACAACACCATGGCAATGCTTCTCCCCTAAAGCCAAAATCAACCCCTCTCTTCAAAACAGCCTTGGAAAAAGTAACACATTTAAGTTTAGAAAGCCCTTACATACTAAGCCAACAGGACTCATTTCAGCAGTTTGGTTTCCAGGCTGTTAATATATTGACTCCTTGACTGAGGGACAACTGCAACACATATAAAAAAATCTCCCAAATACATATAAATTCATTCCTTAACAGGTTTCAGCCTCTGCAGAACAGAAGATAAAAAGCAAAGGCTTTTACAGAATAAAGTCTCCTGAGCAGTTTTGGGAAAAGGAGTCTCATTCATGTACACATCTAAAACTCATTTATGGAACATAAAAGTGCAGCTGAGGTTTGTCCTCCTCTTACAGCAACAGTAGTGTTTTATTATATTCAGTTGTTCTATTTCTGCCTTTATTTTTAAATCTTTTTTTTTCTAATTAATTCTCATGATCTCTCATATGAATATATGTACATACAAGTTTTGATTATGCATATATATAAACATATAGACACACACTCATGAGTTATATTCATTTATTAAGTGTCCATATCACAACTCTTCAAAATGACAGCTGAATTTTCTTAGTACTTTACTGCCCTTTTCATACTTAACATAATTGCATGCACTGGTGTAAACTCACCACAGTCTACTGCATTTTTTCAATAAAATTTCAGTTAGAAAGAAAAAAAATTGCCAACGGAGCCTTTTTGTATCAGGTTGCAGGAAGATGTGAACATTTGCAACATTGTGGGAATAACTTGTCAGCAGTCACATTTTGCTTTGCAAGGCCCTGATGGATGTGTGGAAACAAACATGGACCAAAAGAGCAGACTGGGCTTGGCATGTATAAACAACATCTTCTGGCTTCATAATTACTAAATATTAAGCAACACTGGGGTAATAATCCTTTATTCAGGGCATGGAAACTGGAGCAACTGGCTACCTATATATATATGCATAGGTATATGCATGTGTAGATGTGTGTATATATATGTGTATATACACCTATAAGTGTTCTGACATGAGTAGGTGCTACTGTTCAGCACTGTGCTCAAATAAAGAGTCAAACAGCTCTGACAAATTAGCTCAGGCTTCTAAACACATGCCTAGAGGGGCAGGGGCAGACAGCCCTGAGGATTCCCTGTTTATACAGCAGGCAGACAGATAAAAGAGTTTAGGTCTGGATGGGAAGCCCCACATGAATGTGGGTGCTGCACCCACTGAGGCATCCATGCACCCTTCCTTGGAAGCTCTCCACCTGCCACATTCTCCAACTCCATAGGTAAGGTTTTTGGGAAACTTCCACCATTTCAGTGAAGAACAGAGGCCTGTGTTTGGGAGCTCACATAGATCTGAGTGAACAGGACAATCTAAACTTGACAGAAGGTTTTCCAGCAAGCCATGGAGACCAACAGGCAAAACTGAAGCAAGTACAGTGAGTACAGTGTACTTATGGTACAGCAAGTACCATAAGTACAGTGAACTTCAGTTACAGCAGTGAATATGATATAGGTGCATATATCCTGCAACAATCTTCTCTATTTTTGCCATATATTTAGCCTAATGATACTTTTTTCATTATGATATTTTGCTGCCAACATTTCTTTTTATGAGCTACTTAAACAGTTTCCTCTTTGATAAGACATTTTTAGAAAGAAAAAAGGAAGATATGTCAAATCAGCTTTGTATTAAATGCTCAAAAACACAACTCAAAACCATGGACTTCTTGCATTGTGACATCTTTTCCATAAAAAAAGGCTACACAAAGTAAACCACAAAGTCTATCATACTCTCTGAAAAACAACATAGAGTACAAAGGAACCTAAAGGTCATGGAAACTTCTGAGCACTTAAGTTAATTGGGCAACTCTGGAAAACATGAATTGGCTGCATTATGCAATACTAAGATGATAAAATGGTGAGAGTCTGTAACATCAGTATACCTACAGAGGAAAATAATATTTACAATTCTTTTCTAACTAGCAGTGTCAGTTTTCTTATCATTTCAGAAATCATAAATCAGCAGAATTTCTTAAGACTGTAGTAATACTATCAGCTGAAAATAAACAACTGACTTGGGTTTGCCTGGTCTCTTGACTTTTAGTCTTTCTTCTTTTCAATTTTTTCCAAAACTTTGTTTTCTTCCAAGCCCCCCCAAACCACATCTCCTTGAAAATCAAAACACTCACAAAGCAAAAAATTAGAAGAAACACAGTTAGTGAAGCCCTAAAAGAACAGCCTTTCTTTACTTTCTTCAGCACATCACTCCTCTCTCTGCACTGAAACCTCTACCAGATTTGCTCAGCACAGTTTGCTAAAAAAACATGACTCATAACTATTATGACATGCATTTAAATACTGTACATCAATCTGAGAAGTCCAATCTGAATCTTTCTCTGTAATCACTGAAAGCTCTTCCAGGGCGTTTCCCTCCAGCTGTCCTTATCCTGTTCCTAACCACTCTGCGAGTCTTCCTTCTCACCTTTTCTGATTTTGTTACTTCTAACTCTCTTACACAACAAATATACCTCCAGTTTCTCTGTTTCCACGTGCTGTATTCTAGCCTCTGTTCCCATTTATGGACCTCCCTATTAAAGCTTTGTCCTGTGTGTTCTTCCTTCCAAAACAGCTCTGCTCCCTCCCTTGATACCCTGGTTGCCACTTCATGCTCTGGAATAGCATAAAACGTAGTAGATCCAGTAACATCCAAGGTATCTGCAATGTGTGCCTGCAACTGTACCCCATGGGAATCATCTGCCCCCAAAAGACACAAATATCTAAGCATGAGGACACCTCACAGCCTGTTACAGCAGTCATGGAGCATCCTGACTGGAACGAATTTGCCAAATTAATTATTTTCTTTCGACATCCCTTTGTCACAGAAACCCACTGTCACTCAAATTAGGTTCCTGAAATTAGGTGCTGGTTA